AATCAAGGCCAAAGGGTTGCGATATCCACAATACCGAGCTAATGGGTTGACAACTCATGGTTTCTGAAGACCCAAACAAATCTGAAGTATTGTGTTCACTCCTCACCAGTAGCTAGCTGTTGATGATTGTTGCTTACATTGCAGATACTACTTTTATAGCAAGGCCAGACCAGATCTGGAGGAGAAAATGAGGCAGAAGGACGAGGCTGAGAGGTTCAAGCTCCAACAGATGACACAGATTTATGAAGCTCAGCAGCTGACTGCCAGCAAAGGTGGCATGAGACAGTGATGTGGGCGGAGCTGACCACCAGCAAAGGTGGCATGAGACAGTGATGTGGGCGGAGCTGACCACCAGCAAAGGTGGCATGAGACAGTGATGTGGGCGGAGATGACCGTCAGCAAAGGTGGCATGAGACAGTGATGTTGGCAGGCAAGATCAACTGGGAAATGCCATTGGTTCGGCTGCCTGCCATCAGCATGTAATAAACTAGATGTCTCATGTTTCACTATCATGACAGTTGTCTGTGATAATAGGACATTTTCTAGTGTTCCCATGCTCCACCCACATGCAGTAAGGGTTGTCAGCTTTTAGATGACTTCCACAAGCCAGCACATGGACCAGCTTTTAACATCTGCACTTTTATCAGTTGCTGCTTCACTGTCTTTTGCAAAGCATTGTCTCAAAGGACCTTTTTCTATGCTCGTACATATCACTTATGAAAACAAACATCGACTGATTGAACAGACCACACATCATGGACCCACTGGGTCAGCCACACATCATGGACCCACTGGGTCAGCCACACATCATGGACCCACTGGGTCAGCCACACATCATAGACCCACTGGGTCAGCCACACATCATGGACTCACTGGGTCAGCCACATATCATGGACCCACTGGGACAGTCTGTTCAGTAGCTGTGAGGGTTCATCATTGCCAGCACTGATGACATTTAGTGTTTGATTGTTTGCCACTGTCCCCTCACATCATTGCCAGCACTGATGACATTTAGTGTTTGATTGTTTGCCACTGTCCCCTCACTTCATTGCCAGCACTGATGACATTTAGTGTTTGACTGTTTGCCACTGTCCCCTCACTTCATTGCCAGCACTGATGACATTTAGTGTTTGATTGTTTGCCACTGTCCCCTCACTTCATTGCCAGCACTGATGACATTTAGTGTTTGATTGTTTGCTACTGTCCCCTCACTTCATTGCCAGCACTGATGACATTTAGTGTTTGATTGTTTGCCACTGTCCCCTCACTTCATTGCCAGCACTGATGACATTTAGTGTTTGATTGTTTGCTACTGTCCCCTCACTTCATTGCCAGCACTGATGACATTTAGTGTTTGATTGTTTGCCACTGTCCCCTCACTTCATTGCCAGCACTGATGACATTTAGTGTTTGATTGTTTGCTACTGTCCCCTCACTTCATTGCCAGCACTGATGACATTTAGTGTTTGATTGTTTGCTACTGTCCCCTCACTTCATTGCCAGCACTGATGACATTTAGTGTTTGATTGTTTGCCACTGTCCCCTCACTTCATTGCCAGCACTGATGACATTTAGTGTTTGATTGTTTGCTACTGTCCCCTCACTTCATTGCCAGCACTGATGACATTTAGTGTTTGATTGTTTGCTACTGTCCCCTCACTTCATTGCCAGCACTTATTACTTTAGTGTTTGATTGTTTGCCACTGTCCCCTCACATTATTGCCAGCACTTATTACTCTAGTGTTTGACTGTTTGCCACTGTCCCCTCTCATCATTGCCAGCACTGATGACATTTAGTGTTTGATTGTTTGCCATGTCCCCTCTCATCATTGCCAGCACTGATGACATTTAGTGTTTGATTGTTTGCTACTGTCCCCTCTCATCATTGCCAGCACTGATGACATTTAGTGTTTGATTGTTTGCCACTGTCCCCTCTCATCATTGCCAGCACTGATGACATTTAGTGTTTGATTGTTTGCCACTGTATTTTCTCATCTGCTATATTCTTGGCCCAGGCATTCTGTCCACCATGCTTCATGTTATTGCAGAACTATATCTCCAGTGCCTGCAGTATCCAAAGTGTCCTGCCGAGTCATGTTGACCGTCTAAATAACAAATTAAATGTACATTTGTCGAATTAAGTTGTTTTAATTAGTTTGTGCTCATGGAAAATACACATGATCCTTGTTGTCCCATTGTTGCTGTGCTTTTGTCAAATAGAGTTTTTAGCTAATCATCAAGCATGCTTGATCTGTCTTCTTTAGCTCCTTAGCAGATCCACTGGTGTGTTAGCTGTGTATAACTGTCAGTCCTAGGGAGCACATCATATATTCATAGTTCTTACCTAGAAGCCCAATCAACAGATGATGTGATGATTCATCTGATGATCGATCTATCCAGTATTTCATGTTGGCTAGCAAAGATCAAGTGGTGACTGGCCAGCCCATCTTCATGTGAGTTTCCCCATTGTGCACTACTTTGTAAATTTGCACTTCTATAATTCAAACAAGCTTCAGAATACAGTAAAACCTCGCTTAACGAGCACTTCTCATAACGAGTAATTAACATAACGAGCAAAACAAATTGTAAAAGAATGACTTGCTTAACGAGCAACTTTTGCATAACGAGGAGAGGGGAAGTCCCAGACTGAGTGCATGTTACATCAGTCTGTGTTTAGCACTCGTTCCATTTGCATCGTAGTGTCGCCTGTGGTCACACATTGTCTCAGACTAGTGATACATGTACATGAATCCTCCAGGCCTACAAGATGACCTCCCTGAAGAATTGAAGTTCATCAATATCTAGTTTCTGCCTCCCAACACCACTCCGTTACTCCAGCAAGTTATTTCTAACTTTGTTTTAGTATCCAGAAGCCATGAGTTGTTAACCCTTAGGCTTGGTATTATGGATATCGCAACCTTTCGGCCTTGATTCCTTTGCAAATCTGGGAAAAAATGTGGCTTTTCTGCCAACCCCCGGACCACAAGGAGTTCGCCACCCGGTCACTGCGCAATCCGGTTTAGCCAACTACGCTAGAGAGCCGGGCATTTCTAACTTTAAGAAGCTCTACACTAAAGCACTCTTCTAGCATTGTTTTCTGGTGACTGAAGGGACGAACCTCACTCTCAAAGAGTTTGGAAAAATCACTTAACATCGTTGCCTGCCTCAAGATGATCGACAGGGCGGGAGAAGGGGTTACCAAGAGAACCCTAACTTCTGCTTGGAAGAAGCTTTGGTCGGAGAGCGTTGTTGATTTGTGACTTTGAGGAGTTCGAGACAGTACTCGTGGAACTGTAGTCAACGAGATTGTGTCTTTGGCCGCTATCATAGGATTGTAGGTATATAACAGTGATATCAAAGAAGAGCTTGTAGAAGAGCACAGCCAAGAGCTGACCACCAAAGAGCTTATGGAGTTGCATTGTGTTTCAAAGTAAGAAATTTCGGAGGAAGGTTTGTCAGGAGGAGGAGGTAACAGAAAAGCAACAATCTTTTGGCTTAAGAGAAATGCTGAAAGCATGGGAAACTGTTGCATCTTACATGAGAAGCATTATCCTAATAAGGAAGTGGCTATGCGCGCTGCAAATTTATTTAATGATAACCATGTGTCACATTTTCGCCAAATCTTAAAACGTCAGCAAAAACAAATGTCTCTGGACATCTTTCTAGTAAAAAAAAAATAATTAGCTATGTATCATAATTATTTCGACTTATTGTTTTGTTTTCTGCAAATTGAATTCCACGTGTGTTGTTCTCATGTTTGAAGAAAAGATGATTTACTCTCCTTAACAATATGTATATAATTTTCTTTGAATAAAAGTTATACATAGCATTTTGTCTATTTTTTTTGACATGTAACGCATTATCGTATTTGACAATTTATCTGAGAAAAACTTTCGCATAACGAGAATGATTGTGGAAGGAATTAGGCTCGCTAAGCGAGGTTCCACTGTATAACTCAAAGGGTCTGGATAAGATACACACGCAAGCATCTAGTGTTTTAGCAGTAGATAATCAGACCTGGTGATAGTGGATCACTATAACGTTCCTCATAGTAGACCTGCATGCCCACATACCTGTTAGTACACAGCTCCCTTCCTTGTTTAAAGATGCTGGTCTACAGCGTGGCTTCTTCAGGCACTTGATGGATTCACTTTGAGATAAGTCACCTTTGCCTCTACAGGTGAAGTCAGACATGTAGCGCTGGTCAGGGGTCCACACCTGTTCAATCCCCCACCATTCTTTCAGGAATGCCATTATGAGTCTGGTACCAGACACGCCCATTGAACTGTCATACCCTGCTCACAAGCTGGCCTCTTATCCACTGTGGGATCAGCCTTTAGAAGTCTGCAGGCCTAGGCCTGCGTATCTGGTCTTCTCTCCCCTTCTTCTCCTCCAACTTTCCCACCGTGACTTGACCGAAAAAAGTACATTGAAGGGTTGAACAACTAACATCATGGCACAAATTACCCATAACTGCTCTGCTCTCCTTAAAACTAGCCGGAGTCCTAAGAATCTCAGCGCGGTGTACAAAACCTGAGGATCCTGAAATACTTTGGGTAGATTTTTTCCCACTCAGTGCCGTTAGGCTACTCTTTTCTATTCCCGACAATGCACACAAGCGTCTGATCTGACTACCCAAAAACCAAGGGCAATTATTTGAAGTCCATGCAGGAAAAAATGCCAGCCTTCACGGAGGTCTGAACCTCCAGCACTGGAGACCATTCAGCCCCTTAGGAGGACTTGAACCCAGGACCTCCATCCAGCACTGGAGACCATTCAGCCCCTCAGGAGGGGTGGGCCATCAATTCTCTAAAAGCCAATTTCATCATTTTTTTTTAAAATGTCCAAACTGGCCACCTGTCTATGATTCACTTCCGTATATCAGGATAGGAGAATTCTCGCTACCATATCAAATGATAAAGACAGGCTGTATTGAATTAATTAATAAAAAAAAATATAAATAAAAACATGTGGCTTAGTATCCACTTTATTTTAAAATTCTACACTGTCTGCAGCACTGGGGGCTCGTATCCATCCACCCTGTCGACTTTCTCGCCACCTTCCGCCGTTACCGACTTGGTGGTGGTGGTAGTAGTTCCACCCTCACCGTGCAGCTCCATCAGTCTCCCCACTGGAGACAAAAAGAAAAAAAAATTCAGGTTTATCTGGTCACTAGATTAGTGGCAATGTTTCAGGTTTTTCTAGTTAGCTGGTTGCTGTTAAAGATTTTAGGTCAGCAGGTTTTTTTTTTTTCAAAACAGACTGTACCAAGTTCAGACAGAATAATTTTGGATGTGAAAAGATACAGTGGAGAAATAAAGCTCAGATTGAAAATGTCAGATTGCGAATATTTAGGCGGAATAATGAACAACAGGAACTGCCTAAAAGAAGTCAGAGAAAATGTTCTGGCAATGCACAGGCTAAACTGCATGAACATATAGAACAGCAGCTAGCTGCAAGCTAAGGTTTAAAAAAAACCTTGTTAAAACTATGCATCTTTCCCGCTGCAATTAGTGGACTTTTTGAAAAAGACCAAATAAAAGAGCTTTTGAACTAAAATGCGACAGAAAGGTGCTTAGAATACCACACACTGAGAAGAAAACTACATCAAGGAGATCTGACTCAAAACGACCTCCTCTCCCAAAAACTGATGTCAAGACCCAAGGTGGTCTGGAGAAAACGGTTTTGGGGGTGAATACAGCAGAACCTAGTCAGTAGGTTGGTAAGATGGTGTTCTAATAGAACCTAGTCAGTAGGTTGGTGAGATGGTGTTCTTATAGAACCTTGTCAGTAGGTTGGTGAGATGGTGTTCTTATAGAACCTTGTCAGTAGGTTGGTGAGATGGTGTTTTTATAGAAGCTTGTCAGTAGGTTGGTGAGATGGTGTTCTTATAGAACCTTGTCAGTAGGTTGGTGAGATGGTGTTCTTATAGAACCTTGTCAGTAGGTTGGTGAGATGGTGTTTTTATAGAAGCTTGTCAGTAGGTTGGTGAGATGGTGTTCTTATAGAACCTTGTCAGTAGGTTGGTGAGATGGTGTTTTTATAGAAGCTTGTCAGTAGGTTGGTGAGATGGTGTTCTTATAGAACCTTGTCAGTAGGTTGGTGAGATGGTGTTTTTATAGAAGCTTGTCAGTAGGTTGGTGAGATGGTGTTCCTATAGAACCTAGTCAGTAGGTTGGTGAGATGGTGTTCTAAAAGAAGCTAGTCAGTGGGATGGTGTTCTTATAGAACCTAGTCAGTAGGTTGGTGAGATGGTGTTCTTATAGAACCTTGTCAGTAGGTTGGTGAGATGGTGTTCTTATAGAAGCTTGTCAGTAGGTTGGTGAGATTGTGTTCCAGGTTTCAACAATTCAATTGTGTATGTTGTGTTCTGTGAGTCAAGTTCACTGTTGAGATAATCTGTGTGTGTAAACACTCACCATCAAACTTGGGTTTCTTGAGGACCTTGACCTTGTGGACGAGGACATCATGCAGGGGGTAGATACCCTGGCAGGTCTTCTCAATGTCTTTGCCAATGCTGTCTGGGATCCTAGAGATGTACAGCACAGCTTATCAATACCTGCTTTCCTGGCACACACAATCATCATCATGCAATACAACACCTGAATGCACCAAGGTTCAGGCCTCATGTAATCACCACAATCATCAATCTGATCTGTGTTTAAGCCAACAAATGTTGACTTTATAACAGTTGGAACCACATGAAGCTCTTACATGTGAAGCACATTATCACAACGCAAGCCACACAAATATACATGCTTAACTGACCCAACATTCTGTCATATTCTGAGGCTCCTTTCCCTAACCCACCCACAAGAACCTCTCGCAGGAAGCCAAGTGGGCACTTCTTCTAACAGAATTCTACAGAAGGCTCTGTGGGATCAGGACCAGCACGGCAGCTGAGGCTACTCCCACAGACTGCTTGTGGGATGCACACAGAAACCATGTCAAGGCAAGCATGTTTCCACACCAGCAAGTAGACTGCGACAACCTACAAGGTCTGACAATTAAATAATGACTCATTCCATACAAATTAAAATAGCAGTTGAAGGTGTGACCTGTATTTGAAAGTAAGCTGCTAGTGCACTGAGACAGTGAGTGGCACGTTCTAACAAACATAGGACAGACTTATGTAGTTCTGTTGTTATGACCCTTAAAGTTGTTGTGTTACGACATTTTGGATGTCATTATTATTGTCAAAGGCAGGAAAAAGGTTGCTTGTCGGTTTGTGCCACGTGCGTTGTCTGATGACCAAAAAGACATCCTCAAAATGTGTCAGAAAAAGTTGTGATTGTTGCAGAGGCTGCAGCATGGATTTCCCACTATAATCCCACAACTAAACAACAGTGGTAACTTTTAATTTTAGGAATAGACAATACTCACAGGAAGACAATTCTGGGAAATAGGGTGGGTGGTTGACAACACTTGTTTTCAGACAAAAATTCCTGTTCAAACACTGCCCAGTAAGCCGGTACATTGTCATGAAAACAGAATCACTGCCAGGTGTTGAATATAAGATTCCTTTTTAATAGAAGTTTTGAAAATAAACAAACTATGGCTGTGACAGTCTGTCCCTCTGGAATGAATTCCTAATATAGAAGCACACTTCAACATTGTCTTTACTTTTAAAGACGGATGTGTTTTTCTTCTTTTGGTGATGATGATGACCTTCCACTGAGCACTATGGTGTTTAGTTGTGGGTATATAGTGGGAAATCCATGTTGCAGCCTCTGAAACTATCACATTTAAGAAACTTTTTCTGTGACAGATTTTGAGGATGTCTTTTTGGTCATCAGACAAAGCATGTGGCACAAACCGACAAGCAACCTTTTCCCTGCCTAAATCTTCCACTAAAATATGAGTGGCTCTCTATTAGCACCAAATTCATCTGCCATCATGCTCAGTCAAACAATGACCTTGTATGCCACTTTAACTTTTGCAATAAGTTGCTCATTACTAACAGAAATTAGGCGTTCATGACTAGTTGTATTAGTAATCATTTCCACACCATTTTTGAATCATGAACACTACCTGAAAAAAAACTGTACAATTATCCCCATGAACTTATTGCATCAATTCATCTTTTTCTGAGTTTTAAATATTATGTAATGTTAGCTTTCTGCGCCATGCTAATTACGTGACAATGTACCTCTGACTAGGTCAACAGAATGGCGGTGAGTTTGTTGTCTGCTTATCGGGCAGCAATGAGGTACCAGATCACAGATGAAGGTGGCTTTTTGTGTGGATTCCATGATTTGGTTCACAGGTGGCATTTTTGTCTTGGCGATAATAAAATCAGTCATTACTTGTCAGACCTTGTAGAATAAGCATGTGACAACTCACAATAAACATGTAATAACTCGTGAACAAACACGTGACAGCTCAACAAACATCTGACAACTCACAATTTGTTGACCACCTCCTTCATGTCGTTGCTGGACACCTCACGGGTCACAATCTCTACCATCTTCTTGCGGATGGCCTTCACCTGCAATACCAGAAACAAAAACTATCTAGTCTCTGTATGCAGCTGTTTATGAAGATACTCCACAGTACACCAATCATTCCAGTGTCTGGTGTACTTCAATCCTTCTAGTGTCCTGTCCATGCTCAGGCTGCTGAAACTACGTCTTGGCTTGTTCACATACACCACCATATGGCAGAAGGACAGTCCACTGAAACTGGTCAATGTTTATATGCTGACTCTAAATATGTACATATATGGGATACAGTATGTTCATAAACAGCTCATTACACATAGGCAACACTGTCCACACGTGGGACACGTTGACAAACAGCTCGTTATACATAAACAACACTGTTCACACTTAGGCCATATGTTGACAAACAGCTCGTTATACATAAACAACACTGTTCACACTTAGGTCATATGTTGACAAACAGCTCGTTATATATAAACATTGTCCACACGGAGGACACAATATGTTCACAAACACACTGTCACAGATTCTCACTCATGGTCTACAATGAGCTCAAGATTAAAGAAATGTGATCACAGAAACCAACGGATTCATGCAGTACTCAAGTGGGTGGCGACTGGTTACCCAACATGTTGCTTCACATAAACTGACCACTGACACTCACCTAAATATGTTGCTACACACAAACTGAACACTGGCACTCACCTAAACATGTTGCTCTACACAAACTAAACACTGGCACTCACCTGTTGCTCCACACAAACTAAACACTGGCACTCACCTGAACATGTTGCTCCACACAAACTAAACACTGGCACTTACCTGAACATGTTGCTCCACACAAACTAAACACTGGCACTCACATGTTGCTCCACACAAACTAAACACTGGTACTCACCTAAACATGTTGCTCTACACAAACTAAACACTGGTACTCACCTGTTGCTCCACACAAACTGAACACTGGCACTCACCTAAACATGTTGCTCTACACAAACTAAACACTGGCACTCACCTGTTGCTCCACACAAACTAAACACTGGCACTCACCTGAACATGTTGCTCCACACAAACTAAACACTGGCACTTACCTGAACATGTTGCTCCACACAAACTAAACACTGGCACTCACATGTTGCTCCACACAAACTAAACACTGGTACTCACCTAAACATGTTGCTCTACACAAACTAAACACTGGTACTCACCTGTTGCTCCACACAAACTGAACACTGGCACTCACCTAAACATGTTGCTCCACACAAACTAAACACTGGCACTCACCTAAACATGTTGCTCCACACAAACTAAACACTGGCACTCACCTGAACATGTTGCTCCACACAAACTAAACACTGGCACTCACCTGAACATGTTGCTCCACACAAACTAAACACTGGCACTCACCTGTTGCTCCACACAAACTAAACACTGGCACTCACCTGAACATGTTGCTCCACACAAACTAAACACTGGTACTCACCTGTTGCTACACACAAACTGAACACTGGCACTCACCTGAACATGTTGCTACACACAAACTGAACACTGGCACTCACCTGAACATGTTGCTACACACAAACTGAACACTGGCACTCACCTGAACATGTTGCTACACACAAACTGAACACTGGCACTCACCTGAACATGTTGCTACACACAAACTGAACACTGGCACTCACCTGAACATGTTGCTCCACACAAACTAAACACTGGCACTCACCTGTTGCTCCACACAAACTAAACACTGGCACTCACCTGAGCATGTTGGGCATAGCAAGTCTTTTTGACCTGGTTGTTTCTCTTTTTGGTGAAACCGATGACAAACACTCGCAGCAGATACCCATCAGTGGTCTTCACATCCACACTGGCCTCGATCAAAGTCTGCAACAAACAACAGTCTGCATCAAACACTGGCCACTCTAGAAACATGGCAACAACAAAAATGCCATAATTATAACTGCATGCATGAAAAGATGGGGGCAAGTGTCCTTGTGTTGAACAGCGGTCAGTCAATGACAGTCAGAAATTAGCACACACACAAACACACAAGTCTAAATGATAAGCTTCACCTGAGAGAAGAGAAACAAAGAACCACAGAATGCCTACCTGCCATTTCTTGACCATAGAGCACATCTTGTCTCTGGTGAGGGACATTCCATGAAAGTTGGTCAGCACATTGCGGCCCTGAACCTCCTCAGCAATCAGTTTGAACTTTCTGAAGGTGACCTCATCGTTCTGAAGATCAGCAAGGCTGACCTCAAAGACTCGACCTTTGAGGTTATCACTGGCTATCTCTGAAAGCAAACATTTGAAAGAATATGAGCAAGCCTCTAATAACCACTGTAACCCACATCAAGCAAATGAGACAGCACTTCAAATAGGATGATGACTCCCTGATCTGACACAACAGAGACAGCACTAGACATGCAGAGTTCAGAAACCATGAAGTGTGACAAACAGGCCCATCAACATGCAGTAACAAGTTGAAAATGCATAACAATAAAATAAATAATGTTTTATAGGTAAAGAAAATCTCAGATCTGCAGGCTGCCTACTGCTGGCTTTTAAAGGCAAAGCATGTGATGAAATAAGGTTAAACACGATTTATTGGGTGAGCCCAGTACCACAGCATCAAGTATTGGGAAGGGGGTCTCATTTCTTTTTCAAATTTTACATAAATTGGATGTGAATGAATGTGGGGGGAGGGGGTCTAATCTGCACTGAGTATTTTTGCCTTCGCAGCTTACCGATAATCAATTTAAACTGCACAACCGCAAAAAAGCTGTAACCACACGAAAAAAGTCCAACTGCTAAAAATCACACGAAACTATCTTTTTGTTATCTACATCATGGTTACGGTGTGTAAAGTTCAAGGTTTGGTGGGTAAAGTTCCAGGTTTTTGGTCAGCTGTCATAAAAATCCCAAGTTTTTTTTCAAGGCCTTGAGAGGAATCTTGCAATTCCCGACTTTTTCCAATGTCTCAAGATCAGCTTTGAACCCTGGTTACTGGGCCCCAATGTAAGGAAAACAAAGATAGGTGAACAACCAGAAATGTCCACCAGAGTTTACAGCAGCTGATTGCCAGAACACAAAGACCAGCTCCCCAACACACACACACACATTTCTTAGCTACTTCAGTGAACATTGTTAAATGCCCTCTACACCAATAAAACAGCACAGTTAGATAGCTGTAAACAATCTCTTTCCAATGGTACCTCATTTAGGCTTGTATGTTATTTCTGAGCTGAGATATGTAGGTTTTTGTGGAGATGAGATGTAAGAAACAGCCGCTAAAACTTGTGACCCAGAAACAAGAAGTTTTTCTCTGCGCAACCTACTGCGCAGTTCTGTATCGGCTTTGTTGACATTGGACTGTCATTGGACAAGATGGCAGGCAATGAGACTCAGCCGCATGCGATTGCCTAAAAAATGTCACTAAATTTAAACAGCCGAAAACGGGAAAGAAATTTTATATACAAATGTAAAATTGGACGGAGAATTCAATTATAACTAGCATTACCATGTCTGGTAATGTTTAAGGCCTAAAGCCAACCTCGAACTACCGCTATTTTCAATCAAACTGATGGACTAACAGAAAAACAGAGGACGTCCGGCTGACGTAGACATGCGCTGTTAATCGGGTTCCTTCCCGCCATTTTCAGCTATTTAGAGTGGGTGAAAATCACACCAATCGCAAAATTTCATGAAACCCCAGCCGACATTTCCGAAACAAGTTTCAAACGGTTTCCATGGTAACGGAAATTGTCGAAAAGATAGCAAATTTCCGAAACTGTAGTCGCTACATTTCTCCACAATTAAAAAACTTTTACTTTAAACAGACTCACTTGTGCCTTGGGATCGGGTCACCAGGGTCTTGCCCACCTGTCTGACCAGGAACATGGATGGAGCTTTCACGTCGTACCATTCTTTCTTGGAGAAAGGGTCTACGCTGGAAACAAGATCATGTGAAAACTATTATTATTCTTAGCAGAACTGCCTGAGTGGAACATAGGCATCAAGCATGGGGGAGGAGAACACACAACACAAAAATAGACATCGACGAAACGTTTGAGATTTCCGGTTAAAATGGACGCTAGACAGCGGCGCTGTTCGGAGCAGAGGCAAATTTTTTGCTTCTGCCGGACGGTGGCCGAAGTATTTTTGCTCTATTTGTAGACTGGATATAGTTTCGTCGCCCAGCTTCTGAGTTGAATGCATGGCGTGACCCTGTGAGCTGCGGATTGCATTTGGAATGTCTTTTTTCGACTGTGACCAACGTGGTGTGAATTGTAGATTCAGAAAATGGCACGATGACTGTCGTGCAATGCTGGCAGGGCCCGTATTAAAATTGATCGCGCGGGCAACTGCTGATCTGTTCGCGACAAGTTCTGCTATCATCAATGATGAACTGCATTTCTAATGTTGGACTGTTTGTGTTAGCACTTCGGATGGCTACCATATGCTTTAATGCGAGTGTATGCTAGATATGCTGAGACACAGTCTCAATCTTTCCACAAGGGACTGTGATAGACATTCTGAGTGTTTTTCGCTGGCACAGGAGCGGAGCAAAGATGGGGCAACCCGTTTGCTATGAAGCTGAAACTAAGACTACCAGACATCGACTAACTAACTGGTTCCTGTGGACCAGACTGTGATGCTTCACTGCTTACAGTACACGATATATAATTAATAGACCATACAGTTGGGTTTCTTCGAGTGTTTTTCTTTATTATATCACAACACTAACTAACGACCTATGGCTCACACTCAACTGTATTTAATGGATTAGTCACTATTATTTTTAGAATTTTATATTTTCGGAGACTGGCAACATGAAACTTCTTTAAGTAGTGAGGCGCCATCAAATGTTTATAAAGTAGCCTTCCAAGTGGTACTATATTGTCTGAAATCTCCCTAATCACAAGCCAGGCAAGATACTGTGATACTCCATTTTCAAATTTACAAGAACAGATAAGCAAGCAGCTGTTTGTTGAGTATGGTCAGTTGTATCCACCAAAATCAGAGACCTGATTCATAATCGAACAAATTGCCTGCATCAGGTATCACAAAATGAATTAGCGCGATATAATAAAACAAATTAAAGTAGCTTACACTTTCTTCTTCGTGCCCTTCTTGCCTCCTTTAGTGAGACGCTTATTTTTGCCGACAGCCATGTTACTGTCTATTAGGGAAAAGAAGGCGGAAGCGTTCTATTACAAGAATTATGGGATGTAAATACATAATTGAGATCGACTTATACGAAACAAACAATTTAAACAGTATTATTCTTGGTAATTATTATTATTATTATACATTTAAACATTGAAATGTCATCTACATCGGACATGACCATAAGTGATCCAATCTCCTCCTTAGTATGTCTCTAAGTGTTTTAGGCTAACAACGCCCATTCTGTTCTGGTTGATGTAACGTCGGGTGGTTCCCGCATGATTTTCCTGTCTCGATGCTCCAATTGTTTCAGCCATGTATGCAGTCTGTCTATACGGTGACAAATCCTTTTCCACGAAACTGAAAGCATCAAAGCGTTTAGTCTCAATTAAAGCATTGATATCTATTCTGTCCATAGATGGCCCATTCCTGATAGTCACACTGCCAGTCAGGGCGTCTGCTCTCTCATTGCTTTTCACACCAGCATCCCCTGGGACAGAAATAAATGTGATTTTGCGTAACGCTGCGTGCTGTATTAGACGGAACCACTGTTTCCGTATGTGCCCATCCTTGATCTCCTGTAGCATGCTCATTGAGTCGCTGAGAAAGTATGCATTGGGGAATTCCTGAGTTTTCAGCCATTATAGCGCCCTTGTCGCCGCCATGCCATTTATTGTCATGCTGCAGGTGGTGGAAACAGATGCTTCAGTCTTCCAATTCCAATTCGTCCAACAAAAATTCCAAATTTGATCCTTTTTCAGCCGCCCGGAGGCCTGCTATATCGAGGAAGGTTCCTTAGCTATCTTATATGGTTTCCTTTTATTTGTGGTGTGTAGTCACACCTGATATTAGGGTTCTTTGCTTCCTTGCTGTGCTGCTTTGGGTCTGGTGTGGTCCAGATCTCTTTGTGATGGTGGGTTGATATCCAGTGGCCTGAAATAAAACTGAAGGCATTGTTAACGTTCATGTGGTTTGGGGGTGGGGTGGCGTAAGAGAGTCTGGAATTTCCGAGTGCTGGTCCCCTTTGGTGCAATGTCTTCAGCAGTCTGCTTCAGAACGTCGGGTGGCCTTTGGTGGTTTCCGTTGTCAACTTCTGCCTGAAAGAATGTTAATTACTGATTTTGTAATCACTTAGGCCTTCACGCTAGTATTCGTCCTTAGGGCAGGGTCTGAAATAGGACTGAAAGGCATTGTTTTAAATACATGTGGTGTGGGGTTAGGGTGGCGTAAGTTAGACTGGAATTCCCTAGGGCTGGTCCCCTTTGGTGCAATGCCCTTGGCTAGCTGCTTCAGAGCGTCGCGTGGCCTTTAGTGGGTTCCATTGTCTACTTCCTCCTGAAAATATACTAATATACTAATTTAAGATTTGTGTTACAACTTTGGCATTTACGATGTTATTCGCCAGCGGACAGGTAGAGACAGTGGGAGTAGCATATGTTTAGAGTGCTGGAATGCTTCAGAGACATAAAGCAAGGTCGGAAGAGTGAGGGAAGGATAGTCTGTCATGGCAGGTGCCACTGGTACTCGTAGGATCTGATCAGGTCCCATCGGGCTGTACAGCTCTGGGTTGAGGGATGGCTTCTCAGATCGCTTTCCCTGTTCTTGAAATAAACTTCTTAACAAGTCGCTGAATCTGGTTCTCAGCGCTCACGCTGAGGCAGTTTTCGACAGTCATTGGTTCGTTTCTTGCTCTAAAGTGTAACACAAGCTCTTGTCTTTCAGGTTCGTAGGTTTTACAGTTCAGCAGGAAGTGTTCCATAGAGTTGTTGGCCCTGCATTCCTGACATACAGGCGTGCGGGATCGGTCTGGCCAACACCCTAGTCGCATCTTCCACAGCTTGCGGATGACAGGTATTTTCGTCGGTGCTTGCACTTGGTTCTTGAGACTGGGTTTTTTGAGTAATTTGTAGGCGACTCTGCCTTTATCGCTGGTCGACCACTGCAGGGACCACTCTCTGCAGATGTTGTTTCTGATGACTGCTTTTTGTTCTACTTTGCCCAGTCCCGTGAACACTGTGTTAGGGCTGCTGGTGCCTCTTTTTGTCGCTCTGTCTGCTGCTATGTGAGCTGGGATCCAGCCAATGGTTACCTGGCATCCCAGGCTCCTCAGTCTGGTTGACAAAGTCAGGATTTCTTCTTTCAGGTCTTGTCAGCTCACTTTCGAATATCCTTTTAATGACTGGACAGATGCCAGCGAGTCGGTGAGGATAAGGAGCTTTATGGGCGGCCTTTCGCAGGCTAGCTCCAGCGCTTTTAGTATTCCTACCAGCTCTGCCGTACATACTGCTGTATTCGTGGGTTGTTTTCAAAGCTGGTATGAAGACCCCTGCCCCGACAGCACCCATACTGGTTTTGGAACCGTCTGTGTAGATTATCACGGTGTCCACTTCAGCATTCCGGATGTACTCGTCGACTCTCGACCTTGCATCGAGGATGGCCTGGTTTTTGTCGATTGCGTGCGTCAGGCTTTCGTTCGTGTACGGAATTTTGAGCTCCCAGGTTGGGGTGGTCGGGTGGTACCTTATACCGCTGTTGTTGGTGGTGTTCAGTTCTGCTGCCGTGTTCCAGGAGGCTGGTCTTCGGGATGTATGTAGTGGGATGCTGATTTTCGACCATGGATATTCATGAACGGTCAGTGCCTGGGCGGCAGGGTGGTGTGGGTCGAGCGATGTTTGAGACCAGTAGCTGTGCCTCAGTTTTCTTCTGCGTAGGCTTAGTGGGATGAGGCCTAGTGCTACCTCCATGGCTTCGTGACTGGTTCCTCTCCCTACCCCCAGGATGATTCTCATTGACTCGTTCTGAATTCGGCCTAGAAGATCTTTTTGGGCGTCGGAAGCAGCATCGAATACGACACGTCCGTATTCGAGCTTGCTTCTGACGAACGCCTTATAGAAGTTCAGTAGGGTTCGGGTGTGCGCACCCCATCCGGACCCTTTGATTATTCCAAGAAGGTTGTTGTTGTTGAAGCATCAATGGTTTGCTTTATGTGTCGGTTCCAGTTCATTTGTTGGTCGAGTAACATTCCTAGGAATGTCGTTTGCGTTTTTCTCGGTATTCTTTGCCCATTGATCATGATGCGGGTTTCAGAGTCAGTATGTGCCCACGATTTCTTCTTCCGGTGAAATATCATCTGGACGGATTTCGTCGGGTTGATTCTGAAGCCCCACTTCTCCATCCATCCTGCTACATTGTCGGCCGCCTCCTGCAGCTGATTTCTGGCATGTTCTATGAGGACGCTAGAGCACCATATTGCGCAGTCATCGGCGTACTGGAACAGACCGACATTGTCGACCCCTATGGCCTCCACGAGATCGTTCACGAGGATGGAGAAGATAACCGGGGAAATCACCGAGCCTTGTGGGGTGCCGTTCTCTTGCCTGTGGGTTGCCGACCTTTCGTTTTTGACTGCTACTGAGAAGGTTCGGTCTTGTAGGAAGCTCTTGATATAGTTGAGAGTTTTCCCTACAATTCCTACTACGCTCAGTTTTCTGATTGCGGCCTCTCTCCAGCAGGTGTCGAAAGCGCTGGTCAGGTCTAGAAAGATGGCGGTTGTTTTTTCTTGTTTCAGGAATCCACTTTTGACGTGATCTTCTAGCTTGATCACCTGGTCAATTGAGGATCGGTTGGCTCTGAAGCCGGATTGCGTGCTGCTGTATTTTTTGTGTTTTTCCAGGTGGAAGTTAATTCTCTTGGTCACTACAGTCTCCAGTACCTTTCCCATGTGGGAGGTCAGCGATATAGGTCGGTGAGAGTCCAGTCTCTGCGTATCCCTGTGGTGTTTTGGTACTGGGATGACTGTAGCGTGTTTCCATTGTTGTTGGACTATTCCCTCTCTCCAGACATCGTTATAGTGATCCGTGATGGACTGGACGGTTTTGCTGGGGAGCATTTTCATCAGCTTGTAGCTCAAGATGTCTACCCCAGCGGCTGTGTCCCCTTTCGCTCGGATTGCTGAGGTCACTTCTTCTACTGTGATGTCTGAATCGAGGTAGAAGTCAGTAATGTCCGGTTCAGGTTTTAGTTCTGCAGTCGCTAATAGTCGTGCTCGTCTGCCCCTTTCTGCCGGGCCGAGTTTCTCTGTTTAGCTGATCTCATAAAAATATTGACCGAACAAGTCGGCTTTTTCTTTGTCTGTGATCGCTAATCTCGGTGTTTTGATAGTGGGGATTCGAGTCGACTTTTTGTTTCCCTGAATGGCCTTGATTTTGGCCCACACTTTACTGGCAGGGGTGCTCGGATCCAGGGTTTGACAGAAAGTTTTCCAGTGGGCCTTTTTGGACTTCATGATGGTTCTGTTGGCCGCGTTTCTCTGGATTCTGTATTCAGCAAGATTTGCATTGGTCTTGTTGCGCCTGTATCTTTGCAGGTCGGGTGTGGTCATGGTGATGTCGACCACCGTGTCTCTCATTCTCCGGCAGGGGTTTATTCTGGTGAAGGAGCCGTCGTGAGAATGGTGAGCTCGTTCTCTTCTACGAACTCCATTAACCTGTTCCCCCCGCAGTTTGCAGTGAGACTGCCCCAACCCGGATGATGGCAGTTGAAATCTCAGAGGATTATCGTCATTGGCTGTAGTTTCGTTTTCAGTTTGTCGGTGTTTGTCTACAGCTGGGCAGTACATGTTTATTAGTTTAACTTGTTTTCGAATGCCGGCGATCGTCACTGATATAACTTCACAGTTTTTCGTGTCGAGAGTCTCTTGTCTGATCACTCGGATTCGGGTTGGTACGAGGATTGCCACTCCCCCGCCCCTTGCGGTCGTGTCTGTGGATGGTGTAACCGTGATGTTTGAATCAGTCGGTGGGTTTTAGGAGTGTCTCCTGCAGGGCTATGATCGTCGAGTCACCTTCTAGCTGATTAATTATGCATAGAAGGTTCTTGATTCCCCTGCAGTTCTACTGGACTATTTTTATATTGGTGTCTTTCATTGTCGGTTTTTGGTCTGTTGGCTATGTGCGTTTTTGGGTAGTCTTGTGTGTGTGTCTACTGAGCGACTGGCAGGTTTTCA